TGACGCTCAAGTGTACATCGGACAAGAGAGGGAGGTATGAATAACTTAAAAGCAATTTTGCAACCCTTCACCTTATGAGATAGCTTTGAAGTTGAAGCAGGTCAATGGCAAGATATTGTATGCTATAAGGGGTCGTTTGGTTGAATACGGCTTATGCCGGGATAAGTTATGCTGGGATTACTTATCCTGGTATTGTTTTTTATCCACTATTTGGTATGTTGTATTAAAAATGACAATTGCATAATTTCTAAGAAGAAGGTATAAGTTATTCCGGCACTAATTACCCCGCCCTCTACAAGGTATAAGTTATCCCGGTACTAATTTTAATCTCGGGATAACTCATACCAGGTTTGCAAACCAAACAAAGTATTAAGGTGGTATTAAATTTTTATACCAGTATTATACCTTCTTATACCTCATACCAAACGACCCCTAACTATCTTTATTTGAGTTTAAGTTTTATCTGTTGACGGTGCAAAAAATATTTGTACCAATCAAATTACTTATAAGGTAATTTAAGGTAAATGTCCATGAAAAAGTATTATATTCTATAGTCTCTTTGCATTTTTTACTTTGATGGAAAACAAGGCATGCACCTATGTACTTACTCGCTGGGTAGCTGGAAAGGTGAGGCCATTAGTGTGGCAAGTACACCATTTGGGTGTCACTTTAGATAAAGATAAATGAGTTGTGTTACTAGTATTTGTTTTGTAAATATTCATAGTTTTAGGGTCAGTTTGCACGCATCTCAATTAATTTCTCGAGATACCTGTTATCTCTTATCAGCCTTGGTATACCGTCCACTAAAATATGGACATATGAGAAAAATTATTACGAGTAATATATTATTAAAAACTGCGAAGAGAGGGGGTGATTTGTTCCTTTGACATTTGTATTTCGAGCGATCTCCTAGTATTGCATGAATGGACTTTTAATACTAATATTTTCAGAAGAAACATCAATTAATGAAAGTTATTCGAAAATTAAAAAAACATAACTTGAAGATGAGCACATCTCAGTACCATTTTTTTATTATTATTTTAAACCTTTGCTACTCCTTTTTTTCATTTTTAACTTGAATTATGAAGGACCATATACCTTTCCATATTATATGGACTCCTAATTTCCTAAAAGAAGAGATATTGCACCATACATCTAGAAAACAATGCTACATGCCTAATGCTCTTGCAATCTGTACACCTACTTCAGCTGCAAACTTTTTTGCATGCTTAAAGTAGATTAGGATGGTAGGTTAGTAAGTAGTCGAGCGTATTTCCTTTCCAAACGTGTACTCCCTTCTCTAGCTGTAGTACTAGTGTTATCCTATCGTGTTTCCTATTTTTAGAACGATCGATATTATTATCTGATGTTTCCTTTTCTTCGTTTTTGTTTTTTCTGAATGTTGTTACTATTTCGTTTTCCGTAGTTCTTTGTCGTAACTGCTGTGATTTTCCTTTATTGAGTCGAGGGTCTTTCGGAAACAACTTCTCTATCATCACAAGGTATGGGTAAGGACTGCGTACATACTATCCTCCCCAGATCCCACTTCTGAGAATACACTGGGTATGTTGATGTTGTTGTCGCTATAGAGTTGTATCTTATTTCTGTCCTGCTTATTTAATATAATATTTAACATAATTTATGAGCTTTGCATTAAACGTAGTGGGCGTTTGGTCTAGTGGTATGATTCTCGCTTTGGGTGCGAGAGGTCCCGAGTTCGATTCTCGGAACGCCCCTCAATGGTTTTTATATCATTTTTTCATGCCCTTTTTTATCATTTTTATTTGATGGAGTTGTCCTTATTTTAATTAAAAAAAAAAAAAAAAAGAATTAGTTGTATAACTTGTTTCTTCATTTTAATAATTAAAAGTTTCAGTTGTATAACTTGTTTCATAAGTTTGGATTTTGTTTCCATTTTCATATTACTCAAATCAGTCAATCTTTAGTAAAATATAACTAAAATGAAAAATCTAATTCTTCCTTTTCAGGATTAACAATGTAAAGCAGAAAATATATGTGCTGAAGTTTCATCCAAATATGAGATAATTCTTATCTAAGAAAATTATAAACGAAATTTGCTTTGTTTATAAGAAAATATGAAAATTGTCTTAAGAAAAACATAAAAAGATAGGGCGGCAGAAATTAGATTATGATGTTAATGAAAAAGAGAAAAAGTGAAATTAACTCAACAGAGGAAAAAAAGTGGACTTTAGATGATTCAAAATTTTGTTAGTTAAACATTTCATGATATTAGCGCAAACTAGTTTTATTTCAAATAGAATTTTCATATGCAATTACAAAGACATAGTTCATGATGAAAATTAATTTATATTAGTATATTTATCCAAAAAAAAAAGCATAAAAATTATAATATTTGGTGTGTATACTACTAAGAAAAACATTACCATCATTTCATTGTACTCTATTCAACTTACAGTACTTATGAATTTATAGACGATATAGAGTGTTCTATGACCACCAATGAGTGTATTAAATTCAAAAATTCATGATCGTGTTAAGATCACGTCCAACTATGCCTTATAAAAAGGATATGCGGATGTTGCAAATATAATCTGAATATTTAGCTCAGAGTCCAACCCATAAGGAATTAACCTATCAATTACTCTCGTTAGACTTACGAAATTCTACGTAATCAACTTCCCAAACTTTCTGAATAACAATTGAGGATGTTTCTACTAACTGCGAATAAATGTAAATAAGAAACTGAAAACTAACTATGATTAAGTTGTAAACAATTAAGAGAAGGTTCTAAGGTTATGATTTCCCCTATTGACGGAATCCCTTCCGGTTATGTTTCACATAGAATTGCCTAATCGTCTCTATCAATCATGAGCACTCTTATTACCGCAAATCTCTCCCGAGTAATCACGACAATTTACTAGACGCACTCTCCCGAGTTACGCTAGCTGGCTTTGTTTATTACAGCTCATTTTAGATTGCACCCAAGGCTTCGTTATCCCTAATTCCGCCTTTAAACCCTCGGTTATTGATCCCTCATATACTTTGGGAGTGGTGTTGTTCAACAATTGACCTAAATATGCACTCTCTCCCGAGTTATGCACACTAAATAAGCACAACTAATTGAGGATCCTATCAATTAACTATAATAAGAACATAGTTTAACAAATAGAGATTAAAGCGGGCAAACTATATTAACATAACAAGAAGTTCATCCTTCAATAGGTTCCATCAAAACCCTAGACTAAATATTTAGCTACTCATACTAGTGTTCATCAAAATAATATTCAATTTCATCATAAATTGTAAAACACAAAAGGAAGAAAGGAAGAACTCGATGTTGAATTATCCTTCTTGCCTCTTGCCTCTCCTTGCCTTGAACTAAGTTATGAAAACCTTGATAATAATCTCTTGGGCGAGCTAGACCTTCTATAGGTTAAGTGGATTTGCCTCCGAACTTCCAAATTTACCCCTAAAATTTAATTTTCCGAAACTGGGCTAGCGCGGTCGCGCTAGTGAACGCGCTAATGACCGCACATATAGCCTATCATTCTGCCTCGACTTCCTGGACTAGCGCGATCGCGCTAGTGGACGCGCTAATGGTCGCGCTAGTCCAGGTCTCCATTTTAGCTCTTCTTTCTCTCGTCTTCCCACGTACTCAGCTTCTAGGGGCTTTTCTTGCTTCAATTTAGCTCCGATTACAGTCTTAAGTCCTCATTCATGCCAGTCACTCCTGCAATGTGTGAAATTCACAATTAGAGCCAATTTATCATCATTTAACTATATTATCACAGTGAAACATAATCAAGTTGGGGCATAAACAGTCGTCAAATTGCATGAATCTAGCCTATTATCAGTGTCCTAAAGTTCAGTCCTGAAGTTTGAACCGCCTTCAAGCTTGTATATCAAATTTTAGGCTTGTATATCTTTATTTTATAGAATAATTTAAGCCAACAATTTGAAGGTAAAATTCTATTGTTGGTTAAGATTAAATTGGTATAACTTTTATTGCTGAAATTATATATGAATGGAGCTATGTCAATTTGTGAATTACTGGTGAAAAGAAATGAGTTTTTTGACAGAAAAATATTTTGTATAGTGGAAACAAATTAGGGGATGTGGAAGAAAAAGACGTAGAAGAGCATAACAACTTGTTTGGATGGTTGTTACATGTTGTATTGTATTGTATTGTTACTTTAAATACGATATTTGTTTTGATTGTTACTTAAATTTTATTGTGTCGTATCGTTAATCCGTCGTTACGTAATGACGAAATGTGCCACTTTATGTAACGGCCGATTTGGTGTGGTTGCGTCGTTATCTTGTCTTTTCTCTCAATCTCACCCTTCATTATTGTTAAATAATTTTATTTTATCATTTATCCTACCTTTTTATGTAGTAATTTTACCCCGTATCGTAATTTTTCTTTATAATATTGCAAGTTTATTCTTCATATTGCTGGTGCATGATATCATGAAACGATGGCAAACGACACAATCTATCCAAATATTATACTCATCAAATGATACACTACAATACGATACAATACGATACGATACATTATGAAACGATACGTAACAACCATCCAAACAAGCTGAAGCGGGCAGAAGATACGAGAAAGAGAAAAAGAGGAGGCTGCCTTTTTTAAGTTGCTGGCTAAGCATTAAATAAGTGGGCAAAGATCACTTTTACCCCGCGGTAAAAACTATTAATATTCGATAATCAAAAAAATATATAAAATTTATAATTTTATTATATATATTTTTAATTATTATTTTGAGAGTGACTATACAATATCATTTTTCTAAATATATATAATTTGTAAACCTTGATTAGAACTTAAATAGCAGCCCAAAGACTGGCTATCTGTGCAATACGGACATTTTATAAGCCAGTCCCTTCTACTTTCCCTCCAAAAGTTTGCCGCTTTTGTATTTTTATTTATTTTTGACTCCTCCATTTCCTGTCAAAAGACTCAAAACCTCATTTTTGCCAATTGCCATTGATAAACCTCACGTACTACACTATATTCGGCTTTCTACATATTCCATAGGAAGTTCGATCATTCCGGTTTCTGCAATTTAATTTTATTTTTCGACTTCAATTTCCAATCGTGTAGTATTCAGGTAAAAATTGATTCTCGTTGCTATTCAACTTATATCGCGAACCAGTACTTTACTGTCCTTTCTTCAATGGATTTTTTCCATTTATTCATGAATTTTTTTAATTATTTTGCACAAAATGATTATTTAGTAGATGCCGGTTCTAGATTATTTAGTAGATGTTTGTTGATGATGATCCTGATGAAGATAAAAATAGTTGAAATTTTACCATGATCGTATGTATACGTTTTTGTATTTTTCAATTTCTGTTTTTGATTTTGCACGAAAATTTTAATAATTGAAAAAACAAAAAGGTTTTGGCTCCTTGCATGATAGCTAGGTATTTCAAATGGATTGGCAATTGAGTTTGAATTATCCTATAGATGCTTAATTTAACTATCAAATATTTACAAACTCCATGAATTAGGTTATAGATTAAGAGGAATTGCGGATATCCCTCAATTCTTTCCATATTTAGTGTGTACTCATAGCCCAACCAATCACCTAAAAAAAAAAGGTGAACCAGTGTATGCTAATCAACTACTGACTTAATGCCAATTTATTGAGTTGTTGCAGTCAATTATATGAGTCTTATATGCATAAATGTAAAGGCGGATTTAGGATTTAAACTTGATAGGTTCAACCTTTAAAAATCTTAGCCTTGAACTTATTTTAGTTTTGAAATTGTGGGTTATTTGTTAAAATTTAGTGTCTTTTCACACATATATTCATGTTCCACGTCAAAAATTGAGTCTGATTGAACCCCTAGCTAATAAGCAACATCTGCTACTGTATAGACACAAACACACACACACACATACATACATTCTGCTCTATTTAGGTCCATTTCATCTTAGAAGTTTTATACATGATCTTGTGATCAGATAGTAAGCGAAAAGCTCTGCAGAATCGGAGCAGAATGGAAGCTGAGAATGCATATACACTTCCCTTGGATGATACTGTTAACATTGAGAGTCCTACAATTGGAATGGAGAACCTTGATTCTCCTGCAAAGATTTTGGATATCCCTGATTGTGTTGAAAATGTGAATTCTTGTTTGACGAACGACTTTGAGGAAGAGGTTGTCCTTGACACTGACGATGAAAGAATGCACTGTGCTGAACTGGAAAGTGTCTCAAAGTGGAGATCTTCTGATGATACAAGGTATACAAAGCAGTCGGATAAGTGGAAACTCTCACCAGTTTCTGAACAAACCTATGTGGGTAAGCATTTGGCTTAGGAACATTACCTTTGACTCTTTGAGTAAATTTGATTCTTCCAACTAATGATATATGGTTTCTATGATCATCTACTCATTTGGAATCCTACTAAAGCTCTCTAATAGCATCTTCCTAGCTTAAAGTGCTCCTGTTAGCATTAGCTCAATACACTAGCAGCTGTAAACTTTTCAAGGAGGACAACTTATTGTATAGGTTTAAATGCATCATCAATGCCATTGGAAATGTTGGATGGGGTGTAAATTGCTGAATGGACTCATATTTTACTTTTGAATAGCACTTTCCTGATTATTTGTCCAATTAAATATTTAATGCCAACAACGAAATACCATCTTATTCTCACAATTCTGGAAGATAACCATGTGTTTTTAGATAAAAAGGAAGAATTATACAGAAATTAGTAAGCCTTAGTGATAACAACAACAACGACCCAGTGTATTCCCACAAGTGGGGTATGGGGAGTGTGAGATGTACGCAGCCTTACCCCTACCCTGGACGGGCAGAGGGGCTGTTTCCGATAGACCCTCAACTAAAGAGAAGATGAAAGAAGCATTGATAACAAGTAATGACAATACAAGATATTAAGAAAATCGAGACTAAGGTAGCAAGATACAAGATGAATGAAGCACTGATAACAAGTAATACAATACAAGATATGTAGTAATGGCCATCTAAGGATAAAAATAATATTATACTAACACTAATACTATGGAAACAGGAAGACAAAGGGAGACACTCGACTGCCAACTAACCTTCTACCCTAATCCTCAACCTCAACACCCTCCTATCAAGGATCATGTCCAGAATAACCTCTCACACCTCCTGACTGAAGCCTTAGTGACTGAAGCTTAATAATTTTATGACTTCTGAGTGATATATGGCATAGTTTAATTTTCAGTTTGACTTGAGTTCTTCCAATTGTGTATCTCCTTTTTTTGTTGCACCTTGAATGTTGTCTATATTTTCATCAGGATGTCTACGGAGGTCGAAGAAATTTTTTCAGCATGCGGATTCAGCCAGAAGCACAGATTTTGATAACACTAGTCAACAGAAGCAGTTTCCTGAGGTAAATGGTAGAACATCTACAGAAGTAGATAATATAGCTGCTAGTACAAAATCAAGAGTTGAAGAGGACCATTATTTTTGTCAGGGTGCTGAAATATTCAAGGATGAAATCCTTGAGGGGAATGTGGAAACGGAAGCCTTAACTGGTTACGCTCTTGACAAGGAGAGGGTTTCATCAGTTAATCAAGAGGAGGGTGTGGATGGAGATAAAGAGTTTCCAATTCATTCTTGTAGCGTAGGTGTTCCCAAGTTAAGCAACTCCGAGTCTCAAGTACCTGATGTGCTATCAGAAGCTAACGCTCTGGACTTCGTGGACCACTACCTATCAGTTAACAATGAAGATGTTCTCAATGAAGACAAAGCTGGAGGAGTGAATAAGATCATATCACGTCCAATTTTCAGCCATGGGGGACCTCAAAAGTTGGCAAGCAGAATGAATATTCAAAATGCAGTAAAAAACTCTGGAGTTTTTGACTGGCCTGAGAGTCAAAGAGAGGGCTCAAGAAGTTCTTTTTCAAGAGACAGAAAGATATTGACCTATGACCGCAAGAACTATAGACTGAAGAACAAAGGAGTATCAAGTGTCCAATCCAGCAAGGAACCAGTGGGAACTATGGAAGATTTAAATAAGGCGGAACCGAAGTTTCTAGAGGATGGAGAAGCAGTCAATGAAGTCAAATCTGGAGGAGTGAATAAAATCATATCAACTCCCATTTTAAGCCGTGGGGGACCTCAAAAGTTGGCAAGCAGAATGAATATTCAAAATGCAGTAAAAAACTTGGGGATTATTGACTGGCCTGAGAGGCAAAGGGACAGTGCAAACGGCTCTTTTTCAAGACAGAGAAAGATATTGACCTTTGACAGCAAGATGTGCGGATTGAAGAAACAAAAGGTATCAAGTATCCAGTCCAGTAAGGAGCCACTGGGAAGTATGACAGGCTTAAATAAGGCCGAACCAAAGTTCCTAGTGGAAGACCATATGAATGTTGAAGACAAGTTCCTAAATAAGTCAGATGAGCAGTTTGATGTGGGGGAATTTGAGCAACAATTTGAAGGAAATCGATCAGACGCACTTGATACATATGATGTTGGCTTTGACACTCAACTGGCTGCTGAAGCTATGGAAACCCTACTACATGCCCCTCCTTTGAAATGCGACACTGTTTGTGCCCGTCAAATTCCAGAAACCAGCATACTTAAAGAAGGGGAATATCCTGAGATCGCTTTGTCAAGAGAGTTTAACATTGATAGCAATTCACCAGAACCTACTGAATGTAGCTCAGCTGAAACGGAGCAGTTAAGAGGCAAAACCAGAGATTTTTCTTCGGTTGTTCGTAGAACTAGGCATCAAGTATCTTCAAATTTAAGGATCCTGGAGAACCAAGCAACCAATCCTAATACAGAGTCTGATTTTCCAAAGAAAAGAAGGAAGCCACTTGACCTAGTAGAGTTAAATGACAATTTGTTGAAAGTGGCTGCTGTGAGAGGAAAAGTCTCCAAATCAGGTACTGACACATCAAGGAAAGCTAGAAAAGTTAGCATGCAGAAACAAGGAGAAACCCATCAAAGTTTAGCAGCAATGTTGAGTCAAGTGAAATTGGAAAGCTGGGTCTCTAAAGGGAAAAGGACACATAAAGGTGCACGACGGCTATCAAATGGATCAAGCGATCTCTATCCTCTACAAATCTCTGCTGATGAGGATAATGACTTTAAGTATCCCGATTTGAATCATAAGGCAGAGAGGAGACCACAACTCTTAGTATTTAAAAGACGGATTCAGTCTTCATCTGAAAAGAACCACTCAGGACTCTTGGCAATTCAGTGTACAAGTGAACCTTATTCCTCACCTTGTAAATATTCAGTCACAAGTGAAAAGATGATGTCCATGGATTTCAAGAGAGCCGAATCTACTAAGACTGCCAAATTAAATGAAGTGATATCCATATCCACTAATCTTTTGACAAAAGACATGAAATTTGACATAACTTCAAGTGGAAACTCAAATCCATCATACAGTCTTAATGGTGACAAGAAAGGCAGGCAACACACGAGAAATCTCTCTAGATCAACCCTTACTCAAGAGCTTATTAGATTAGGCTATGCAGAAAAATTACCTGATTTTCTGCCCAGAGGTTCACGACGACGAAAAGGTACAGGTGAAATTCGTGTCTTGTTTAGCCAGAGCCTGGATAGCAAATTAATCAAGCAGCAAAAAAAGGTGGTGCTTCCAATTTCTTGAGTATATTTGACTTTTAACCTAGTGCTTGGCAATGATTCAAGGTTATTCCAATTGCCTGTGAATGCAGATTTTAGCAAGATTGGGATTTATCTCCACATCAAATTGTTCTGATGCCACGCACTTTGTTACTGACAGTTTTGTTAGAACAAGGAATATGCTGGAAGCCATTGCATGCGGAAAACCAATTGTAACACATTTTTGGCTTGAGAGCTGTGGAAGAGCAAGCTGTTTTGTCGATGAGAAAAATTATATCTTAAGAGATGCCAAAAAGGAAAAGGAACTTGGTTTTAATATGCAGGTTTCACTTGCTCATGCCAGAAAGTATCCCCTTCTAAAGGTTTGTGTTTATACTTACTGCTAGAGAAGTATTCAGGCTATCATTAGTTAACTTTTTCCTGTGAATTAGCAGGGTCGAAGAGTCATTATAACTCCAAGCGTAAAACCTAATAGAGATACCCTTCTAAGCTTGGCCATGGCAGTGAACGGTGAGGTACACAACCATGGCATTGATATGACTCCTTTTTAATGTTGTTTTAGTTTCTGCTTTTGATGTGTGACTAATGTGCATGATCAGGATAAAATCATCCAAGCTCGTAAATTCTTTTTTATTAATTAATAATTTGAAATATTATAACAAATTTACGTCAATTAAGGTTCTTTTTTTCCTTTTTTAAATGCTTTTCAGGTGGTCGACGAATTGAATAATAAAGTCACTTGTGATGATCTATTAATTCTTTCCTGCGAAGAAGATTACAAAGTATGCATTCCATATCTAGAAAAAGGTATGATTTCATTTCTTTCTTTCTCCCTTCTAGCAATTAACTGCTACCTTGAAACTGATGGCTATAAGTATCACTGTTGCAGGAACTCTTGTTTATAGTTCGGAGCTCTTGCTTAATGGGATTGTTATCCAGAAACTGGATTACAATAGGTATATATTGCTAAAAGAAAACGACATATTCCATTTGTTTTCTCTTTAGGGTCAATATTACCATAGTTTTTGGTGCTCTACTTGCTTAAATCCTATCGTGCGAATAATAAGTGGTTGAAATGTCTGAATTCTTAGCGATTAGCAATTGGTCAAAAGGCTTTCAAGTGACATCTTCTTTCATTATCCTTTGAAAGTAATTCTGAAATTCCTAATTCACACTAGCAACAGTCATGCAGAACGTTATATCACTAATTTGAGTATATACTAATATAAGGTAACAGTTATTGCACGTCGTTGTTCTAGGATTATTTTTAGTTATCTGCACTTCATTTGGCTTTTGGATCATCTATCGTAGAATGCCTAACTGGTTTACTTCCATTATTGTTGTTTCAAGTACAGGCATCAGCTTTTCACAAAGTTTTATGACAAAAACTGCAAAGGTTGAAAGACACTCTTATATTGACAAGGACGAGCTTTTTGAAGAAAACGTCGTGCCCAACTGCTTGTATATCGATCCAAAATATGCTACTAGTCCAAGTAACAACTATGATATCCTTGTGTAACAGGAAACTCGGAGCCTTAGCTGGGCAGAAGTTTTGAATATTGGTAAGATGATTAGGCTCTCATAGTTTGTGCAGAAAAAAAGTTGCCATCTTATCTATTCCCTTGTAAATTCACTCGGTTTGCTAATCAATATTATAACGTTCGAACAAATGTGATGCAAAATGTCAAATGGAATAACATAGACAATGAGGATTCATATAGTCGATCCTTACTTGCTTGGAATTGAGGCATAGTTGTATTATGAAAAATTCTATGGATTAAATTAGGCTTATTCACCCAACTCAAAGTCAAAAGTCAAAACATCTTCCAATGTAAACAAGATATTTCTTTCTCAATCAATGTTAAATTTCACTTGGTAAAAATAAATTGAAATTGTCAAATATACTCTCATACGTGGAATTAAATGATAACCAATTAGATAATAGGAAAAAATCAGCCCGTATGAGAGCTATTATACACACAAAAAAATTGAAAAAATGTAATTATAATTTTTCATTTTACTTTCAATGACTTGTTTCTGCAACCACATAAATGTCTTGAAATTTCAAAAACACAAATTTCAAAAGTTCTTTTTCCTTCTTAAATTACGTGCCAAGTCACTCTCAATGTTCCACCACTTTTGTCACGACACAAACTGATGGACCGCGACGGAACCTGGTACCTTATTCAACCGAGCACCAATGTAACGTATCTTTCGTTACATACTATCATGGGCAAATGAAACGGAAAGGCTGCTGTGAGATAACTAGAATGAAACATGAGGGAACACTCGACATAGGACGACTCAAAATGTAATACAAACTTATATATATGACATACGGGCCTATAAGGCCAAAATGATCACTCGTACACTGAACATAGGCCGATAAGGCCATACAATCTTTCATATACATATGCCTACAAGCCTCTAAGAGTAGATCAATACCATAAAGGTTGGGACAAGGCGCCGACATACTAATCAATACATGTCCAAATCATACTGACCAAATAAGCAACTCCGGAGCAAATGGAGCGCACCGACACCTTCCGCTGAGTTGATAGCCTACTTGGAGGACTCTCGACCTGTCTATTGGGACATGCGGGTATGAAACGCAGCGTCCCCAGGCAAAAGGGACGTCGGCAGAAATGATGTACCGAGTATGTAAGGAATGAAAATCAGTAAATAATAAACATGAGAGAAACATGGAGTAAAAGACTCAACATGTAAGTCTGAATAACTCTGTGAATCATTAATATTTATAGTGTCATGCATATGCGTATAAATGTCATACCATGCATAGGTATATGCGTACATAACATCATCAAGCCTCTGAGGGCATCCCATCATATCATCTCGGCCACTGAGGGCAAAATCATCAACGTATACCAGCTGATCAGTTGGTGGTGCGTATATAACGCCGTAACCTTTTCCCATATCCCATATACATATATTATACACATATATAATGCCATCTGGTCATAGGTCAACGTACTTGTATACATGAATGAAATGCATAAGAAATACGTTAATAAGATTTCTCAGAATATCATAAGATCAATATGCCTTTGATTAATATCATGAAATAAACTTTATCAACTTACCTATTTACCGAGACCCGTGAACAGATGATAGAACAATAGGACATAAGGGGAATCAAGAACATAGGCATCTCTAGTATTTCTATGAATAGAGTCATTTATTAAAGTTGTATATTTGCTCGTTTCGTTTGTATCGTATGGATCATGCCAAAAGGAAAGAAGGGATAGCCTTAACATACCTGAACCAATTCTCTTGACAATCCCTCAAACACACGTTAATTGCGACAAAACACGTAACGGCGGATCGAAGTAGGAAAAAATTCATATGATATTCTTGAGAAAGATTGCACCGTACTCCTTTAGAATCGCGATTCCCATGTTGCTAAACATTTGAAATTTATAATTTTACACTTGTCATAATATTTCTATGGCTATAAAACTATGTTGATGAGGAAACATAGAAATTTTAAGATTAAATTAATTTATAAATATAAAAATGTATTATTCTTTTCGAACGAATTAGCAAAGAAATAGTGCAAAGATAATAAAAATAATGGAACATGGGGTGTAGTATACAAATAAAAAAGCCCATTGATAAAATGGATTCTAAATGAGAGAACTTCATTTGTAGCCACTTAGTGAAAACTAATGATAACTGGTATCCATAAAATAAGGCATACAATTTATAGTCCAAAACCAATTATAAAGGGCTAGCAAGTGAAACACAGAAAACCAACGGAGACTCTGGCTCCTCAATGCAGCCTTCTTTTACACTTAGGGGTCGTTTGGTTGCCGGTTAGAGTTATGTAGGTATTAGTTATACATGTATTAGTTATGCAGGGATTAGTTATGCGGGAATAAGTAATGCAGGGATTAGTTATGCAGGTATTAGTTATGCAGAGATTATTTTTTTGAATGTTTGGTTTGTTGTATTAGAAATTGATATACATTATATAAATTTTAAAGTAAAATGCTTGTTTACAACTATACCCCTGGCCTTCTTTTGCATTGTTTTTTCTCTCTTTCCATTTATGTAGGAAACAATTTAGTTAGGAACTTTGGGTGTTACTTTCACTTTTTCGTCATACTACTGAACTATGTGAAGTTTAGACATATTTGATTTTCACTTCTTAGTTTTGGTATTTCCATTTTCTAGTGGCTTCTCCAGTTTGCTTTTGCTAGTTTGTTCTTTAAAAATGAGAGAAGACAAGGTATATAGTTGGCAAGTGAAAGCAAGTGAAACCTGTTGACGGGTTGGCAGAGAAATAAGGAAGCCTTATGTGTAAAGTGATAGGGGTAAATTTGTCATTTCGGTATTTTATCCATGTATTACTAATACATGTATTAGTTATTCCATCTTCTACCCCGCATAAAATAATACACAGATTGACTCATAACTTATACATGTATTATTTATGCATAATTGAAAAATGTCAACCAAACATGGTATTAGTTATGCAGAATTTTATACAAAATAACTATTGCCTACCAAACATGATATAAGTTATGTTACTCCTTATACATGAATAACCTTTCTTCTAACCAGCTACCAAACGACCTCTTAATATTAGTAGTCAAAATATTTCAAATCACCCCAATAACCTTCAAACCTAGTGAAATCCCATCAAAATCTACCCTTTCAGCCCAAAAATTCCATTAAACCCAACCGTCTTCTACATAACCACCAAAATCCCCTTTTTAATCTTTTGCAACAAAAACAAAAATTAAATTTTTAGTGATCCAACTAGGAAAATATAATATTTCATAAGCAAAAATACCCATGATATAAGAAGAGGAAGAAGGTGGTGTATCGGTTTTACACATACTAACACATTATACACTAGTATAAAGTGTATATACACTTTTTATACATCGTCGAACAATATATATACTATTATACACTTTATATACAAAATATATACAAAACTATATGAACATTGGATTTATATAAAAATTGTATATGCATTATGGGTTCAATGGATTCATCTATATTACGGGAAGAAGCAAGAAGTGTGGGATATCAAACCAAGGAATGCATCATGGATAGTTCAGAAAATAACTAAAGCAAAGAGGTATATAGAAGTAGCAGGAGTCAGCATGAAGGAAATGGCAGAATGGAACTACTTCTCTATCAAGAAGTGGTATAATGGTATGCGAGGGCAGTATCAAAAAGTATCATGGAGGAGATTAATGTGCAACAATCTAGGGCTCCAAAGTGGATCTTTGTATTGAATTTAGCTATACAAAACAGACTCCTTACAAGAAGCAGACTTCACGCATGGGGGATTGCAGAAGAAGTAAATTGTCCTTTGTGCAATGAAGCAGAAGAGACTATAGATCATCTGTTGTTTAAGTGTCGAATTGCTGGAGGTATATGGAGCAAGTTGCTACAGTGGCAGGGAATAACAAGAACACCGATGGAATGGAAAAGGGAGATACAATGGGCTGAAGGCAAAGCAACTGGAAACAATGCACATGCTCAAGTTTATAGACTGACTTTGGCGTGTGCAGTGTATTACATATGGAATGAAAGGAACAGAAGAGTATTTCAAGAACAGCAGAAAATAGTGGAAGTGATAGTGAGGCAAATTGCACAAGAAGTAGCAATTAGAGGATCGAAGAACAGCAAGACAGAGAAGAGAATAGCAGAAATAGATTACTATCTGTAGTTGGATATAGAAGAACTGTAGTAGAGGATGTGGAACTGGGAATGTCCAGTTTCAGTTATGACATTGTACATATTTGCTATTGATAAATAAAATCATTTAATTACCAAAAATAAAAAAATTGTATATGCATTATATCAGTGTAGATACATCTTTCATATATATGTATATACATAATATATACATATTATATACAATATTTTCAACACTCACGATAGTCTTCGAAATGTTTCACGTGCAGTTTTGTATAATATGTGTAGAACAAATGAATAATAAATGTATCATTAGTGTATAATGTATCCACACCGATTATACACTATATTATACAATTATTATACACTAATTACATATTGTACAAATTAAGGAGCATTGTCGATAATGGAGGACACCGAACTTGGCCTGAAAAAGCTTTTCTCAGGCAGCGGCTATTTTATTTTCTCTATTTCTCATCTTCTTGCAAAAGTCATCCGAAAAAATATCATGCAATACTATATCTGAAAGTGGGCAGAAAGCGAAGAAAGCGGCAACCACCGCCTGACTTTTGCCAGAAATACTCAAAAGAAGATAGATATTTCTATATCTAAGTAAAAGAGGAGGAGATCGCAAAGAAAAAACAAAAAAAAAAACGTGTGTTGGTGTCACTATAGGAGAAGAAAAAAAAAAGAAAAAAAAAGAGGGAGTGAAGACGAGAAAAGATAAGAAAAAAGAGAAAGATGGAAGATTGAAGATTGGAGAAGATGAGAAGAGAGAGAGAGAGAGAGAGAGAGAGGAGAAGAGTGCAGTTGAAAAAGACTAGAGGTGTATCGGGAATAGTGGCTATAATTTGTCAATAAATTGGGCCTAAAGGCTATTTCGGGTAAAAATCGCACGGGCTAGCCGGTTTTCGGACTGGTAATTGAAAAATAGCCAGCGTTTGCAAAGTCATTGAAAAATATCCATTATTTTGCTGCAACACGGAAATTTCCAGCATAATATACTGGAGATTGGTGCACATGTGTATGTACTTCCAGCATATTATGCTGAAACTCCAACACGCGAAAAGTTCCAGCATAATATTGGAACTCTAGTATATTATGTCGGAGTTCCAGTATATTATACTGGAGTTCCAGTATATCATGCTGGAATATTTTTTGGATTTTGAACAGTGTTTTCGTTCAGATTTATCTTTACATGAAAAGTGGCTAAATTTCGATTACTTTTGAAACTGTGGCTATTTTTCAATGACCACTTGTAAATCTGGCTATATTTGAATTTCTTCAGTTATTTCGGGTCCATGAGGTAAAACATGGGCTAATAAAATTGGGAAATCTACTCAAAATGCCCATTTGGGAGAAACTAATTACCCGCTTCAAACTTTTTAGAATATTTACCCGTACTTTCCCTTGACATTCCCTTTTTCCCATTAATTACTCTTTGTCTTTTTGTGCTTTCTCTTTCCTGTTTTTTTTCTTTCTATTTATCCTAATTTTTCCTTGACTTTCCCTTTCTTCTAGTGATTACTTTATGTCTTTTTGGGTTTTCCCTCTCCTGTTTATTCCTACATAGCACGTTATTCATCTCTTTCAGCATATGTGCTTTTGTTTGAACTTTGAAGGCTTCAGGGGCATCTTTGTACTCTTTTTCATGCATTCATAGATCAAGATCCCCTGATCCAAAATGTCTCTTTAATGAACTCCATGGATAAGTTAACTCTTCAACCACATATAGAGGCGGATCCAGGATTTAAATTTAATGGGTTCAACTTTTAATTTTAACATTGAACTCGTTATACTATTAAAATTATGGGTTCAAATCTAGTGCTTGTTGAGATATTATTAGGTTCTTACATATAAATTCATACACTATATC